ACCCATGACCCCGAATCCCGACAACCCAGGACCATGTGCACAACAGTTCGCCGAAATCCTACAGGCAGCACGGACCAGGGCAACGGACGCAATAAAAAAATCAAATGTCATCGCTAAACGCAACGCCGATCGCCACCGCCGTCCCCTCACTTACCAGCCCGACGACCTAGTTCTGCTTGACACCCAAAACCTCCGCCTGCCCATCACCCCAAAACTCCGCCCCCGATATTGTGGGCCATTTCGCATCAGCCACATGATCACTCCCGTAACCGCCCACCTCCTCCTCCTCGCAGACTGGTATGTCAGCCCGTCATTCCACGTCAGTCTCCTCCGCCCCTACGTCCCTTCCACGAGCCAATTGCCTCGCCACTGCCCAGTCAGCATGACACGACCACCCATCGAACCAGTCATCACCCTCGAGAAAATTATGAGCCACCGTGTACGTGACCCACGTGGAGCTCGCAGAATCGGGTTCTTGATTCGTTGGAAAGATCGCAACCCGACTGAAGACAACTGGGTACCCCTGGACAAAATCGAAAACCACCCTGTCCTCACTTACTATCTGCGCAGCCGCAATTTCCGAGATATACACGCACTCTCGTAAGGAGGGCCTCCTTAGGGAGGGGGTAGTGTAAGGAACTTTCCATTCCCTTATGCCGCATCCTTGCTTAGCGCGTACAGCACTGTACTCACCACAGTCACCACCGTTACCACTCGCGACATTCGCCTCGACTCATTTCCCGCCTCATCGCCCGTTGCACCCCAACCCCACGGCTCGGCTGATAACCCGCGCTTCGGGCCTCCGCCTCGACACTTCCCGACCTTAGTCCCAGGCCCGTCGCGCACCACCCACAGTTCGTTACCGTTACCACTAGGGCCTTTCGCTATTTAGTCCTCGCTCATTCCTTCGCTCAATGTACTGTTTTGCTTCGATAGTGCAATTCTTGCTCGCTCGCTCAATTGCACTCGTAACAAATACCCGCATTTGCTTCCAAACAATATTCGAACCTCCTCTAACCCAGTCAAAATTCGATCCTGCGCAGGATCGATCGCCGAAATTTGTTGGAGTTGACGCGTCCTAACTGTCACACAGCCAAACGACAGCCGTCCATAGGCTCTCTTGCTCCTCCTCTCCCATTGCTTCCCCCATGACGGGAACTACTAACTTGACCAACGCAAGTTCAGGCAAACGACCAATTGTGGACCATCGATTTTGCCGATAACTCGCGCCGGATGACGTCCTGGAGAACGAAACGATGAGAAAACTTTCGTAGAGACGTGGTATTGGCGACAGACACAATGGCTTCGCCAGCCGCGAATGCGACAATGTCGAATGTGACAGGAGCGGAGGTGGCTATGGCGCAGATGCTGGCGCAGCTGGCGGCGGTTGAGGCGGAGTGGGTGAGCGTAGCGGCGCGCGCGAAGGGCATGGTGCCGCTGATGACGGGAATATGGCGAATGATGGCCGCCTTTATCGTGCTCTTCATGCAGGTGATTAGCGTCGCAGAGCGTCGCAGGGTGTCGCACGAACCCTTGCGACAGTAATAGCGAGCGTCGCACGCGCCATGGAGTGGTCGGGTTGCCAGCACGCACTCGCTCAGGCTTCAAGCCGCAACGAGGCCGTAGTAGCTTTTGAGTCGACTCAAAAGAGCCGTAGTAGCAGGTCGCGGAGACGAGAGCATCAGTGGTTGTAGCAGCAACGGCTGAATGCGTTTTTTTGAGAATTCTCAGCACATTAGTGGTTGCAACCTGATGTGCGCGCGGCGAAGGACAAAATTTCTAGGCCATGCGCTCTGCTCTGCTTGCAGCAATGCTGTTGTATCGCGTGTACTCGACATCCAATTGTCTCACCCAAAACTGAAATATCAGTTCAGCATTCTGTAAGTCATCCCTTTCCTAGTGCACTCCCATGCACCCACGCTCTCACCATGCATGCACCCACGCTCTCACCATGCATGCACCCACGCTCTCACCATGCATGCACCCACGCTCTCACCATGCATGCACCCACGCTCTCACCATGCATGCACCCACGCTCTCACCATGCATGCACCCACGCTCTCACCATGCATGCAACCACTCTCTCACCATGCGTGCTCGACTTGTGTGTCAGCGCCACCACCCTTATCCCATCCACTCCCTCTTTCCATCCACCTCCCTTCTCTGTAGCTTGGCTTCTCTTTAATAGAGGCGGGCACCGTTCGTTACAAGAACACGCGCAACATAATGATAAAGAACGTGCTGGACATGTGTGTCAGCGCCATTGCCTTCTGGCTCATCGGCTTTGCCATCGGCTTCGGCAGTGGCTCCGAGATCATCGGCTGGCAAACACCCTCAGGCTCGGTGAGGTTCTCAGGCCCGGTGATTCCCTCAGGCACGGTAAGGTCCTCAGGCCCGGTGAATCCCTCAGGCTCGGTAACTTCGCAAGGCTCGGTAGAGCCATCCGGATTTTTTAGGACACTTTGCTCAGTACCCTCAGGCTCGTGAAGGTGCTCGTGTGATCAGGCGCACAGCTCAGTAAGGCGCACAGCTCAGTAAGGCGCACAGCTCAGTAAGGCGCACAGCTCAGTAAGGCGCACAGCTCAGTAAGGCGCACAGCTCAGTAAGGCGCACAGCTCAGTAAGGCGCACAGCTCAGTAAGACGTACAGGTCAGTAAGGCGCACAGGTCAGTAAGGCGCACAGGTCAGTAAGGCGCACAGGTCAGTAAGGCGCACAGCTCAGTAAGGCGCACAGGTCAGTAAGGCGCACAGGTCAGTAAGGCGCACAGGTCAGTAAGGCGCACAGGTCAGTAAGGCGCACAGGTCAGTAAGGCGCACAGATCAGTAAGGCGCACAGGTCAGTAAGGCGCACAGGTCAGTAAGGCGCACAGGTCAGTAAGGCGCACAGGTCAGTAAGGCGCACAGGCTCAGTAAGGCGCACAGGCTCAGTAAGGTGCACAGGCTCAGTGAGGCGCACGGCTCAGTAAGGCGCTCGGGCTTCAGGAATCAGGCTCGCGGTGATCTTCAGGGCTCGGCGTGTGAGGTTAGGTTTGATCAGAGTGTGAAGGTGTGATGAATGAATGCATGTGTTACGTTACGTTGCCAATTGGGAACTTGCTGCCACCGTACTGCTACTCTCTCCCCATACTGCCACTCTCTCCCCATGCTGCCACTCTCTCCCCATGCTGCCACTCTCTCCCCATGCTGCCACTCTCTCGCCGTGCTGTTTCCATGCAATTTCTGTCAAGGCCCATGCCATGCGCCATGCGCTATGCCTCATCCCCCATACCTGATAACTTCATGCCCCATGCCCCATGATTCATGCGCCATACACCGCATGTCCCTCCATGGTGCGGCAGGTATCGATGGCGGTGGTGCCCCACGAGAGCGGGTCGCTCTTCTTCTTCAACTTTGTCTTCTGTGCCACCAGCGCCACCATCTTCGCTGGTGCCGTGGCTGAGAGGACTCAGATCACTGCCTACCTCTTCTTCAAGTGAGGAACCACCTTCCTTCCTTATCAGTCGACTCAAACTGACGCTTGAGGTGAGTTTTGAGTCGCGACTAAAAAACCATCTTCGCTGGTGCCGTGGCTGAGAGGACTCAGATCACCGCCTACCTCTTCTTCAAGTGTGTAACCACCACCTCCCCTCTCGCCCTGCCTAGCTTAAAATGACACTCACACTCCTCATCGCATGCACTCCTCATCGCATGCACTCCTCATCGCATGCACTCCTCATCGCATGCACTCCTCATCGCATGAGTTTGCGCCCTCTCTCCCCGTCCCGCCATCTTCCTCCACCCAGCTTCTTCCTAGCAGCCATCATCTACCCGGTCATAGCGCACATCATCTGGTCGCACCACGGGCTGCTCTCAGCTGATGCGGGGGACTACGTGCTGGGCACACGCGGCGTGCTCGACAATGCGGGATCCATGGTCGTTCATGTCACTGGTGGGTGGGTGGGCATGGCACAGGTGGGCATGGAAATGGCACAGGTGGATGGGCGTGTGATGCCACTGGTGGGTGGAAAGCACAGTTGCTGTCAGCTGTTACAGGAGACTACATGCTGGGCATGCGGGGTGTGCTCGACAATGCTGGATCCATGGTCGTTCATGTCACTGGTGGGTGGGTGGGCATGGCACAGGTGGGCAGGGCGTGGCACAGGTGGGCATGGCACAGGTGATCTCAAGCGCTTTCATTGTAGTATGTGCTCTTTGCTCCTTCCTTCCTGTGTAGTGAGCAGCTGGTAACTTTATTTCGTTTGTAATACCATCGACCGTGCTCTTCACAGGTGGCGTCACCTCATTGGTTGCTGCGTGGATGGTCGGCCCACGGATCGGAAGATTCGATATCGACGGCCGCGTTGTACTGTCCCTTTAGAGGGCACTCCCTGGTACGATACTGGTATCGCAATGCGTGTTATGAGGACCTGCTCCATTTCTTCCTGACTCACCATCATGCTGCGCCTACTGTCTCAAGAATCCCATCCCTGGTCTTCAGTCTCAGCCTCATGATCGCTGCATGAGGCATCGGTTAGACTGGACAGCTCACCAGTACAAAACCGCCCAATCTCCTTTCATTTTCTCCTTCCCCTTCCAGACTCCCACTCCTTCATCCTCCTTGTCCTTCCTCTTCCTCCTCCCCCCACCCCACTCTCCTCTCCCCCTTCTCTTACCCTCTCACCCCCTCTCCCCCCTCTCCCTTTTCTCCCCTCTCTTCCCCCGCCCACCCTCCTCCTCCCCCCTCCATGTGATACGCCCACAGGTGTTCATAGCAGCGGGCACCATCAGCCTCTGGGTGGGTTTCTTCGGCTTCAACGGCGGCTCAGTGCAGTACCTGGGGCAGCCCGCCAACGTCTGGGTCGCCAACGTGGCGCGCGTGTGCGCCAACACAACCGTCTGCGCCGCCTTTGCTGCTGCTGCTGCTGCTGCTGCTGTCTAGAGGGAGCCGGGCACAGCACAGCACTGCACCACTGCCCACCCTCCTCTCATTCTCCCCTCCTCCCGCCCCCCCACCACCCCGC